ACAACACTCTTATCATTGTGGACGCGGGAGACCACGCAGTCAAGATCTACTCTTCAGAAGCTTGACTGTGTAGTTAAATTGCAATCGTATGTTATTCTTCCACAGATGGATCGATAGACAGAAAGCAATATTCACACACACATACGTGGATTGAAAGGATTGTACAACCAGTGGAAGCCCATGCATTTGATGTGTGGGCTTTCAATACGGGACTTTCCACTTCATAATAACACCATCATGTCCCAATTATAAAAACCATCAATACAATTAGAAAAAAAGAAGAAAAAAAAAAAAAGAAAATAGCAGCATGCAACTGTGTCCCATACATTGTCTGAAGCAGTCAGAATCAATATTTAACTAATGGCATGACAGAAAGAAGCTATTTTAATAAAATACTTCTTATTCACTTGAGATACTGATTATTAATGTATTAATTTGTGATGACCACGTCATATAGGGCTAACACTCCAGCCCTGTGTGGACGAATTTGAAATCAAAGAAACAGTAATTTTGAGTTTTAAGTTGCATCAGACGGCACTCCTGATTTGGACTACAGAGAGATTGAAATACGTAGTTCACAACTTGATTTGATTTTTTTATAACCATGATGAATATAGTTTACAACAAATGAAAGTAAAATTAAATTAAAAAATAACATCTTAAGAGATTTTCAGATGTGACTTTAGAAATAAATTTATTTTGAATATAGAAATTAGTTCAAATGTATTTATCTATGTGTCCAATTTCACTGTTTGACATGGAACTATTTATTTATTTACTTACTGGGATGCGCCATATATGTTCGGTGGACGTTTAATAAAAGGAGATGCTTATTCAAAACATAATTACACTTTTCATCTTTACATATCAGCTAGAGCTCTTCAAATAAAAAAATAACTAATAATTGTTATTCTTCCACAGATGGATAGATAGTAGGGTAGAGAGTCCGATAGGATGGATAGATAGATTGACAGAGAGCAATATTCACACATATATACGTGTATTGAAAGGATTGTACAACCAGTGGAGGCCCACACATTTGATGTGTGCGCTTTCAATCGGGGACTTTCCAGTTCATAATAACACCATCATGTCCCAATTATAGAAACCATCAATACAATTAGAAAAAAAAAAAGCAAATAGCAGCATGCAACTGTGTCCCGTACATTGTCTGAAGCAGTCAGAATCAATATTTAACTAATGGCATGACAGAAAGAAGCTATTTTAACAAAAAATACGTCTTATTCACGCGAGATGCTGATTATTAAATGCATTAATTTGTGATGACCACTACAACCATTTTCCTTATTGGAATTGCCTGTAAAAAACTTTGCTGTTTCCGACCAATCAAGAGGACAGACCAATGCTGCCGTCATAAAGGGCTAACACTCCAGCCCTGTGTGGACGAATTTGAAATCAAAGAAACAGTAATTTTGAGTTTTAAGTTGCATCAGACGGCACTCCTGATTTGGACTACACAGAGATTGAAATACGGAGTTCATAACTTGATTTGATTTTTTTACAACCATGATGAATATAGTTTACACCAAATGAAAGTAAAATTAAATTAAAAAATAACATCTAAAGAGATTTTCACATGTGACTTTAGAAATAAACTTATTTTTAATTGAGAAATTAGTTCAAATGCACTTATCTATGTGTCCAATTTCACTGTTTGACATGGAACTATTTATTTATTTACTTACTGGGATGCGCCATATATGTTCGGTGGACGTTTAATAAAAGGAGATGCTTATTAAAAATGTGACATAATTAAACTTTTCATCTTTACATATCAGCTAGAGATCTTCAAATTAAAAAAAATTATATATATACATATAAATTCCTATGTTTGGCTGGCAACTTGTTCAGGGTGTACCCCGCCTTCTGCCCGTAGACAGCTCGGATAGGCTCCTGCACATCCTTGACCCGTGTGAGGGTAAACGGATTAGAAAATAGACGGATAATTACACATTCTAGTACTTGTCAGGGGTGTTGCATCCATAGTGGATGGAGGTGTGAAGACCTCCACTTTTCACACTAACGCTCTCCACTCCTCCTGTTAATAGCATTGGGAGTTGTGTAAAATATACTAGGGCCCACATTTGGCCCACAGACCGCAGTTTGGACACCAAGTAGCTGTACCTAATGTTGTGGCCGATGAGTGAAAAGCATTTATTGAGTGAAAATGAATGTTCACGGGTGCGTGTAAATCACCGAGCTCCATCAACATGTCTGGTCCTCTGTAGCGACTCGGTGTCAAGCCAGTCGCCCCTATTTGGTGCGCAGTGCAAAAATGGTTTGGCCCCCTTCTTTCGGTACTTTGGTGCAGCCTCCACAGCCTGCCAGAGGAGAGCAGAGCAGAGCAGTCGAGCTCCCGGACGGTCCGTGGAGGAAGATGGCGGTGGGGATGCTGTCTGGAAGCGGAGTCGAGTTCTGGATTTGCACTTAAAAAACCAAAAGCCGATGGATATAAAGGACAACCATGGACGCTTTCCTGACGTTTCTTTTTGACGCGAGGACGCTTTAGGGGCGATTTGAGTCACAGCCCGTCGCCTTTTGCCTCGGTACAAATCCGGACTTGTCCGGAGACTTTCGCCCGCTGAGAGCAAACAGGCGAAAAGTGGACAAAAATGTCGGATACGAAGGTAAAAGTAGCAGTGAGAGTTCGGCCCATGAACCGCAGGGGTAAGTTGTTTTTTTTTTCAAGTGCGTTGTGTGAGTTGTTCAATCCGCTAACTTTTCATCCATCGCTTTCAAAGAGCGCCACTTCAATAGAATTTTGGAGTTTCAACATAATCAAATGAAGTCGCATTTTCACACCCCGCCCTCTGCTTTGTTTTGCAAAACAAACGTCTTCGCGCAGAAATTGAGCTGAATACAAAATGCGTGGTGGATATGGAGGACAACCAGACGGTTCTGCACGCGCCACCCTCCAATGCAAAAGGAGAGAACAGGTAAAAAAAATCAAAAACCACAACTATTCCTTGCTGCTGTTTCCACGCAGGAGCATGATGGCATCACTCCAACTGGATTTTGTTTGAATTGTGGTGACCCATCCTACGAAATGTTTCACTTGAGTTTGGATTACTGTGCTTGGTTTGAGTGTCACCAAATATGTGGAGCACCCGTGAGGCTCCGGGGGTGTTATGTAAACGTCTGACCCCAAGTGCAAGTGCACAAATAACTTTGGCACAGCTTGTTGCCGAGCAGTATGCAAAAAACATCACATCCCCATTATTTATGGTGGACTGTATTGCATAACATAAGGACAGAACGGTGTGCTAATGGTTAGCACATCTGCCTCAAAGTTCTCAGGTTCTGGGTTTGAATCTTAGCTTTATGTTATGGAGTTGACATGATGCACAAATTGGTACACACTTTCACATTGTTTTGAATCAAGCCTGTTTCTGTAAGTCCCTCAATACTGTGTCAACCAATATGAGTAAAATATTATTATATAGAGAGAGATATCATATTTTTCTCCTTGACAACAGGCTACTTGATAAAGATGAACTTGCATTTTGACTCCTGGCAGACAGTTTGTGAAACCATGACCTTGGTTATAATTCACCCTAAACAAACTGTAACTTCTCAAATGTGCATTGGAATTTGGCACATGAAATGCAGTTTGAAAAGTTGCTAAGGAAGTGATATGTGACTCCCTTCTGCGTGCAACTCGATATGTTGTCTCATTGATGTTAAGTTTCCAATATCCCATCAGCTCAGCATAACAATTGTGACACATTTGAACCTAGCCGATGAATGTCTCAACGTTTTGCTGCCGAGCTAATTTGAGCCAAGGGCGCCGGGTAACACAATGACGTTCCACACTGGAGCAGACGACGGACACTTAATGTCAGGATTTGGAAACTGGATTTTTTTTGGGCCACGCTCAGACTGTATGTAAGCAAACAAAGTGTCACATCATTATCATGCTGCTTAAAATGACTGACAGTAACAGTTGGTGGTTCGGTGGATGCATTGTTAGCGTCAAATTATTTGACAGTCATCTTGATGAACCATTGGTGGAATGTAATGGAATTTTCCACATAGGAAACAACGGAAACAGAATTAATCGGGTCACTGGTGGTGTAGTGGTAGACTCCCCTGACTTCAGTGCAGACTGCTTAAGTCCAATTCCTTCAGATATGAGTGTGAATAGTCTGTGGTCTCTGTGTAGTCGGTCGTCCAGTCCAGGCTGTCGTCGGTTTATCTCCCTAAGTCAGCTGGGTTAGGCTCCAGCTCCCCGTGGCCCTGAACACGATGAGCGCAAAATGTCGGCATTACCAAACCTTTATTTTAATGATGATATATTGGCGATCAAAAGCCTCTATTAGATGGCATAAAGTTTCGTGATTTCGAGGCACCCCATCTGTTGAGGATATCCTCAGCGAAGCTCATTTTGACGAATTCTCTAAATGGAGTAAGTGAAAGTATGAGCCCTAGAATTTACCCAAAATGACCATTTCAAACCACAATGGCTGACTTTCTGCTCAATTACAGACATGGGTTCTTGAGACTTGTTATGATTGAAAAGTCGAACAAATGTGTGGTGATCGTTGAAACTGCTGTATGGGAGAGTTATTTTTTTCTTTTCTAACCTTGCAATGGGTGCGACTGAGTGCGTTTGGGGAGCACATTCTGAAACATTTAACAGTTGGTGGCGAGCAACTATACGCCAAATTCACAAAGTCACCAACCAGCAATTTGCACTTGGCAGAGGTCACTCTCCAAAGATGTATCAGGATGCTAGTTGCTATTGTTGCGGTCTGAGATCAAGTGTGTATTTTTTTCCATCGCGTATTCAGATGGTATGTTGGTTATGTAACAATTTCCTATGTGTTGACGTAAAGTTTTCACGTCTCCTGGATGGTATTTATGTCTGCAATGCCGCTGTATCGAAATAGCTTTAGATCTGATGTTCACTGTGACAAATCAAATTTGTGTTGTCCAGCCGCGCTGCATGTATTGACTTGACACACATGAACTCATGCTGCTGGTGATTCGGCTCCTTGTGTTTTGACTACAGTGGTTTTGTGAAATCATATAATTTTACTCTCTTTTGCTGGTGGTGGAGCTGCGATGGAGACTTTATTTTATTTTATTTTTTTTCTATTTTGCAGCCGTGTTTTGAGGACACCTGTTGCTGTGTGCTGAGAAGTTTCAGCTTTAGGGGTATTTAAGTGCCAAGTGTGGCTGCAGCAGGGGACACTAGTCTTGGGAATGTTTAGTCTCAGAGAGAGAGAGAGAGAGAGAGAGAGAGAGATAGCAGATACTTGTGTTTTGTGTTTTAAAAATATGGAAGTAGATTTCAGTTTGGTATTCAGATGATCTCATGACGCGTCAAAAATGTTAAATAGTGTTTTCAACCGACAGCCCACGCAGCAGAAGCACATGATGTGTGTCGCCCTGAGAATTTGGAAGCATATGTGGGATTTACTTTGATGGTTGAGCTTCATTCTTTGCACTACACAGCAGTATAGCAACACTCGTGATCCCTAAGCTGCCGGCCAATGCCATGCAGCTTGTGAAGGGACCCCGGGGCGGCAGGTTAAGTTACCTCATCGTCTTTCTCAGCTTTCATCTGCGCGTTATGCTGGCACACATGCAGCTCGTTTGACGTGGGAATGTTCGTTTTGCGTTCTGTGGACACGCTGGTTTAGTGGGGGTGGAGAGGCAGAGCAACACCTGAGGCTGCTGTCTGGGATGGAGATGAGTGGAGGGGCATCGTGACAAGGAAATACCCCTTGAGAAGGGGGGCCCGTATTACAATCTGTCATGTTCCGACATGCCTGGCAACACAACTGAATACAAAGGCGGCGAGATTAAGATTTACAAAAGCCTTTGGCGAGGAAGATATGATCAAACATGTGATGTGTCTCTTCCCATCATTATGAATGATGGGAAGACACAACATCATAATGACCAGATGTCCATGTAGCATGTGTGTTGTTAGTTATTTTAGCAGGTAAAACTTTTATGTCTTGGATAGATTCTGCGCTACTTTCACAGTTTAAAGGCGTTCGTTCCCAGGTGTCTTGGTAGAAGGTCTCTGATGATCTTCCGCTAAAATGCACATGGGATAAAGGATTTCCGTGCAGTTTCAACGCTGGTTGAAATCACTTGGTTTTCGTTGGCAGTTCTGTCCCGTACAAATGTCAAGCTATGGCATTGTGACGAATTGAGGACTACTTCAACTTTGTTGTTTCATTTAGGCATTTTTCCGACCTGTCTAGTCACTATTTTTCAACAAAGCAAAGTTATTGGAGACCTCTGGAGATTTTGAAAGTTTCTATGGAGAAGTTCACCCTTTTGTAGATAGCGTCAGAGTTATAAACATAAATAATAAATTGACAGCAATTTCCTTCCAAAGCAACATGGTCATAAATGCACACAAAACGTCAAAGTTGAACTTCGTAGTTCACTAGAAGATATGCGAAGCATTCTGTGCTTTCTTTACGGTCGTGAATACCACGTGCTCACTTTTGCTGTTATGCTGCTTTGACATTGTTTAACATTGTTGTTGGGGCATTGAAAATGCAGACATTTGGACAAAGCTTAAAATTTTTTCATAACAATTTCCATAGAAAATGTGAATGTCGTCACTTAAATTGTTTCAGTTTGGCTTTTTTAAACACCTTAAATCTAGCTACATTTAAATAGCTTTACTTTTTAAAAGTTAAAGCCTAGTAACCCTAAAGCTATTTCATTGTAGCTACTTTAAACTGTTTAAGGTGAAGTTGTTTTAAGAAGTTTTAAGTAAGCTCCTTTGAAACACTTGATATCTTTAAAAACCTTTCGGTGAGTTGCCTGTAAAAGTTTCATCCAAGCTACATAGAAACAGTTTAGGCTAGCTACTAATGTTGCACCAAATACCGATACCAGCGCCGTACTCTGAATATTAGCTAGCAAAAATTACGCCATACCATAATTTCCCAGTACCGGTACTTGGCCGGAATCAAACCCTTCACCTCTGCACTGTGAGGCAGACATGCTAACCAGTCGACCACCGTGCCGCCCATGAATATTTTTATCATATGAATAAAAATAATTGAATTTGTTTCGCTGTGAGCTATTCCACTGCTTTTTACTGTTGTTTTAAGTTTTGTCATGGTATCGAAATGATACCAGTATCGACACACTTTATGCAGGTATCGTATTGAATTGAAACATTTTGGTATCGTACCAACACTACTAGCTACTGTTGAACCGTTTTTGGCAAGTCACTTTTCAAGAGTTTTATGCAAGTTACTGGAAACCGGTTTTAGGCAAGCTGTACTGCTATTTATCGCCTTTCTGCTGCCTCTCTTTGCTGGTGTAATATTAGATGATGCTGTGATAAACCCACATCATTGTCTTTTTTCTGTGTAAGTGCATATAATTCAGTGTCTTCAAGGATGCAGTGCATTTTCTCTCTTTTTCGTGACCAGAATGATCATATGGGCAGTTGTCTGGCTTTCCAAAAAACACTTTTTCCAAAATGACAATGATGCCTTGTCTGGTGACTGCCCTCAGGAATGTTCCTTTTGTCTTTGCATTATTCAGCCTGTGCCACTAATCAACATGTCCGTGTCCTAAGATGTTCTGAGGTATTGCTGCTATCATATATACTGCGTTATCAAACATGCTGTTCATATAAATTGACGTGTTAGTCCTAATCACCAAAGGGCTATTTGTTTTGAGGCTGGCCCATTGTTTTCCTCTTTCTGCACAGAATGAAGAAATGATGGTATCGCCCATCTTTGTTTTGTCTGTGGCTCATTAGCCTCAGATGTGGTTTCTCTTGCAGTGAGATCAAAGAATTTGCTCTCTTTGTGTAAAGGGACTTTCACAACAATTTTGGTTTCCTCTCAAACGAACTGAGTAGGCTTCCAGTCTTAAGTGGCGAGTGGATCAATGTGACATCAATAACGTCCTCAGTGACGTTTGTGATGTGCCTTTCTCGGCCATCAGG